CTAAAAGTAGTCCCATGACCAATCATGGCTTTGCTATTCCTGAGAAAATTATTTTAAAAGAATTTTCCTATATATTCCTATGTAAGACTTAATCGGTCATTTTGGCCCCACCCTACCGCCGGGGGTCATGATTTGAACAAATTTGAATCTACACTACCTGAGGATGCTTCCAGATGAGTTTCATCTTTCCTGGCTCAGTTGTTCTTGAGAAGAATGTTTTTTTTAAAATGCCATTAAATTTTCTCTAATTCATAATTATCTCCCCCTGGAAAAGGGTGTGGCCCTTCATTTGAACAAACTTGAATCCCCTTTACCCAAGTATACTTTGTAGAAAGTTTGGTTGAAATTGGCCCAGTGGTTCTTGAGAAGAAGATGAAAATGTGAAAGTTTACAATGACGACGACAGACGACGGACAAATTTTGATGAGAAAAGCTCATTTGAGCCTTCGGCTCAGTGAGCTATAAACCGGTCCTTCGGATGAGACCGTGTAAACCGAAGTCAAGTATCGCAGTAGGTGCTGACACGATAAAGATCAGTCAGTACTCAATGGCCCTGAGCGCCGAGTACACTAGTAGTTCAAAATTTGTAGCTTTCCACTGGCAAGTGGTTGCGTCTCCATATGAGTGAAAAATTCGAGAGAGAGAGACGTTAGACAACGAACAAACAACAAGAGACCCATGGATCACAATGCTCAGCTGAGGAACTTTTTTTGTTCTTCACAAGATTCCCCCATTGTAATACCTATTATGACCCACCATATTCCCCGGAGTCATAATTTAGAATATACACTATTTTAGGTTGCTTCTACATAAGTTTCAGCTTTCCTTGCCCAGTGGTTCTTGAGAAGAATATTTTTAAAGATTTTTATGCCCCGTAAACGAAGTTTCGGGGGTGTATAGTTTTTTTTTGTCGTGTCTGTCTGTCTCTCTGTTTGTCTGTTTGTCCGCAAAAACTTTAACCTTGCCCATAACTTTTGATTTAGTGGAGCTTTGACTTTCATATTTCATATGTGTATTCCTTGTGAGAAGATCTTTCTTTGGGTACCACCAAATTTGACCGCTTGACCTTGACCTTGGAGTTTGACCCACTTTTAAATGAAAATTTTTAAATTTTACTTTGGCCATATCTTACGAACAGTAGACACCAGGATATTTATACTTCACACATGTAATGTATTTTTAAAGACCTTTCACTGGATACCAACAACCTTGACCCTTTGACCTTGACCTTGTAGATTTCCATAAAAAACTTTAACCTTGGCCATAACTTTTGAAGATCTTTCAAATATTTAATTGTTGGAAAAGACCACCAAATTTGACCGCTTGACCTTGACCTTGGAGTTTGACCCACTTTTAAATGAAAATTTTTAAATTTTACTTTGGCCATATCTTACGAACAGTAGACACCAGGATATTTATACTTCACACATGTAATGTATGTTTAAAGACCTTTCACTGGATACCAACAACCTTGACCCTTTGACCTTGACCTTGTAGATTTCCGTACTTGTGAAAAAACTTTAACCTTGGCTATAACTTTTGAACGGTAAGGGGAAGGGCTTTCTTACTTCATATATGTAATTCTTGTGAGAAGACCTTTCATTGGATACCAAGAACTTTGACCCTTTGACCTTGACCTTTGATATTGACCTACTTTAAAAAAGCAGACGTTGACCATAACTTTTAAAGAGTTAGGGCTAGTGCTTTCATACTTTATATATTTTATCCTTATGACAACACCTTTCATTTGATAACAATAACTTTGACCCTTTGACCTTGACCTTGGAGCTTGTTCCACTTTTTAAGAAATTGAACGTTTACCATAAATTCTGAACGGTTAGGGCTAGGGATTTCATACTCTACATAAGTATTTTATGTGGCAAGACCTGTCATTGGATACTAATTACAATGACCTTTACCTTTGAGAAATTTTAACATTAGCTTACTTTCAAATTTCATTATTGTTTTCCAGTGAGAATACCCTACTTTTGGTACCAATTAATTAAATTTGCGTTTAAGAAAAGCTTAATTTTTGCTATGTTGCTATACGGGGGCATCAGTGTTTTACAAACACATTTTGTTCTTATATATTTCAATGTGAAACTTAAATTCCTTTCAGGTCCCACCCTATTCTCGGGTCATAATTTGAATCTATACAACTTAGGATTCTTCCACATAAGTTTCAGCATTTCTGGTCCAGTGGTTCTTGAAGATTTTAAAAGATTCCCCTATATATAATTTCAATGTAAACAACGCAAGGCCATGATTTGAACAATTCAAAACTCTACACTATCCCAAGATACTTCTACATACCCCGGTAAGTTTTAGTTTTTTTTATCGTCCTTACCCTTTTTATGCCCCCGTAAACAAAGTTTCGGGGGCATATAGTTTTTGTCGTGTCCGTCTGTCTGTCTGTCTATCTCTCTGTCTGTCTCTCTGTTTGTCTGTTTGTCCGCAAAAACTTTAACATTGCCTAAAACTTTTGATTTAGCGGAGCTATGACATTCATATATCACATATGTATTCCTTGTGACAAGACCTTTCTTTGGGTACCACCAAATTTGACCTTTTGACCTTTACCTTGGAGTTTGACCCACTTTAACACAAAAATTTTGAACTTTTACTTCGGCCATATCTTTTGAACAATAGATACCAGGACATTTATATTTCACGTATATATTCTTTGTGGTAAGACCTTTAATTGGATACCAACATCCTTCACCTTTTGACCTTGACCTTTGAGGTTTCCGTACCCTATGAAAAACTTTAACCTTGGCTTTAACTTTTGAACAATAAGTTCTACGGCTTTCATACTTCACATACATAATCCTGATGAAAAGATCTTTTATTGGATACCAAGAACCTTGACTCTTTGACCTTGGAGAATGACCTACTTTAAAAATACAACATTGAGCATAATTTTGAAGGGTTTGGGCTAGGGCATTCATACTTCGCAAATTTTATTTTTGTGGCAAGACCTTCATTTGATATCAAGAACTTTGATCCTTTGACCTTGACCTTGGAGTTACTTTTTACAAACTTTAACCTTGACCCTAACTTTTGAACAGTAGGGGCTAGAGCTTTTATTTTTCACGTGTAATCCTTGTGACAAGACCTTTCATTGGATATCAAGAATTTTGACCCTTTGACCTTGGAGTTTGACTTAATTTTTACAAACTTTAACCTTGACCATAACTTTTGGACGGTAAGGGCTAGCGCTTTCATACTTCCCATACGTAATCTTTGAGACAAAGCCTTTCTTTAGAACCCAACAACCTTGACCGTTTGACTCTGAAACGGAGTTTGTCCTATATCATAAAATGTTAACCTTGGTCATAACCCTAGAACAGATGTAGCTAGCTTTTTATATGTCGCATTTCTTGCGAAAAGGCCTTACTTTGGTACCAACATATTTGATCTGCATTTAAGAAAGCTTAACCTTCGCTTTGTTGCCATACGAGGACACCAGTGTTTTACAAACACATCTTGTTTCGTCTTTTCTTGATTGTCTCCTCATTTGTTAGGGAGTTTGGCCCTTTAATATGACAATTTTAACTTTACCCAAGGATGTATTGTAATAAATGTAAATAAAAATCAAAATTGGTCCAGTGCTTTTGAGAAGATGAAAATGTGAAGCGTCTACGACGGAACGACGGACAATAGGTGATCAGAAAAGCTCAGGTGAGTTCAAAACGATTTTTAATGAACAATACTATAAATTATTCGCGTCTTTTTTAGATTTAATTAAATGCATACGTTTAAGTATCGTGCTTAATGTATCCTTTAAATCGATATGAATGGTAACTGTACGATTCTCATTCGTTATAGTAGTATCATTTCTACATGTATTTATTATTTCTATTAAGTCACCGTGTGTAATACATATAAAACATTGTTCCTTTAATGCTTTCAAAAAAGAGAATAATTTTGAAGATTGAGTATAGACTTAATCTATAAAGACGAAAAAATGGAATAAGAATCGATCGGGATAGTTACTGTATAGTGACTAAATAGACGGTTTTTTATATGACCCACAGCTATAGCGAGTGAACAATCTAATATGGCGGGCAAATCAAATTTACGAATCGTGTTCAGATTTTGTTTTACTTTGAACATGTGAGATCTAAATATCGGTCAGTAATCAAGGATGGGGTAATCGTAATCAGTAGTCGTAATCAGCTGTAATCGATTACAGTTTGCCAAGTAATCATGAGTAATCAGTAATCATCCATTTTTCTGATTACAAGTAATCGTAATTTAATCGATTACTGTGAAAAAAGTCCTGCAATCATGATTACTTTTTGATTACTTTATGATAACAATTTTTAAAACAAAGTTCTTAAAATCATGATTTTAATGATATTCAATAAATATTTTTCAGTGTACAAATTGATTTATAAGAAAAAGTTATTATAAAATCATAAGCTATATTTAGTTAGGCATCTTCTTCTAATGCTTCCAGCAATGCTTATAACCAGGTCCATTGTCCAAGCAATGAGAAAATTTTATCAGACCTAGCTATATCCAGTAGTCATTTCAAAATATTTTAGCAGCATAGCAATTCGCCATTTGGACTATAGATATATGTATATGCTGTCGGTAAGAAAATTACTACAGGATCATTTTAAAGTTCGATTTTTTTTGTTTCAATTTTGTATTGATATTTTTAAAAAAGAATAAATATATGTCATTGTCCTTGAACATTAAAAATAAAACTTAATGTAATCTAAAGTAATCATAAGTAATCATGATTACATGAAATAAAAGTAATCAGCTTGTAATCGATTACTTTTAAAATCCAAAGTAATTGTAATTTAATCGATTTCTTTTGAAAGTAATCGACCCCATCCCTGTCAGTAATAACACCAACTATTCAATGCAGTACTCAAGTCTTTCTATTTGGTAAAATTCTAACATTTGTAAAAATTTGTAAATTGGCAGATATTAAATTCCTTTAAATTTTATTCACAACCAAATCAATAGAAAGATAAAATGCGACATTTACTGCTAAAATATAGATTCTTTATTAAAAGATTTAAAAGACATCAAGGAATCATTAATATCGATACGCCACAAGAATGAACGTCCTTTGGAGCGCCGATAATATTTGCAATGTTTTGAATACATTTAAAAATCTTGGAGTAAATTCAACTAAAAAGCATATGTATATAAGTATATAAACAATGTGAAAGTAGAGATATCTATTAATTATGATAGATGAATATATATATTATCTTTTATACTTAATGATAAATTGATATGTAAAGTATTGTGTGGTTTTCTAAATTCAAATGTTGTTGCTGTATTGTTAATATTGTTAATTTGCACACTAGATATCTGACGTGTTATCCCATAAACAACAATACTGCCAATGTTTATATTAGACACTGTCTCATTGTGACTTTGAACTTGCAAGGAGAAATATGTGTCATTAAAGCTAAATGTAGAGAAGTAAATTTGTCCTTTTTCCACAGTATTTATCGACTCTCCATCATCAAGGAAAAGCGAACCTTCAGCATGTCCATTTTCATCCGGAACTACGATTATTTGCATCGGATTAAGTCTGCTGACCTCTGTATTTACGCCCGGATGCTGGGATGGTATGATGTTGCCTCCGCGTACAAAGATGGGAATTTCATCTCGTGGGGCAGATACGGTCAAGGTTTCTTTGCCTTGCTGGCTAACAAGTTCACCGGTTTTAAAGTCAAACCAACGACCCTCTGGAAAATAGACTTCCTTTTCGATTTTACCTTCACTGAGTACAGGAGATATCATTATTGCTGATCCCCACATGAATTGTGTATCAATATTCCGTGATTTTATATCTTGTGGAAAATTCTGCATCAGAGAACGAATGACGGTTCCACCTCGAGTGTGCACCTCGTAAAATAATGTGTATAGATAAGGTAGGAGCGAATACCTTACATTTAAAACTCTTCTCGAGGAATCAGCAACTGCTGGACCAAATATTGCAGGGTCTTGATCCTTCATATTAATTGTATTGTGATTTCTAGAAAAGGTGTAAAACGCACCAAGCTGCATCCATCTTTCACAGAGTTCTGCTGAAGGATGTCCAAAAAATCCACAAATGTCCGATCCAATGTATGGAATACCGAAAAGGTTGAACTCCAGAATTCCAATAATTGAATCGTGAACATCAGGCCACTTGCTATCATTGTCCCCTAACCAGTGACCAGCATATTTTCCACTGGACGGATAAGTTGACCGAGAGATTACAATTCCTCTTTTCGTTTGATTTTTAGATTCTCGGAGTCCATAAAGTGTAGGCTCAGTTTCGCTCCAACCGTATAAACTATGAACATCATAATGGTTGTAAGCACCGTCATTCTGTAAAGCTACCATACACAGTGTTTTATCTGATAAACGTGGCCCAAAAATTCCTCTTGGTTTGTAAGGAGGGTCATCTAAGGCGGAATGGGGACACTTCAGTGACCAATATGGTTTATCCTTTTCTGGCCAGTTGAATGGCCTTTCTTCATTTGTCCCAAAGTTTGCCGGCTCATTCATATCGATCCATAACCCATCAAAAGATAAATTGTTATGATGCTCAACTATTAAATTTTTCCAGTATTCCCTTGTTTCGTTCTTAAGAAAATCTGGAAAGACAACTTTACCTTTCGGCCACACATATCCAAGCATATTGGTTCCATTTCTCGAATCATTAAAATAAGGCCATTTTATAAATAAGCTGCTATTCTTGCCAAGTTCATAAGGATTGTAATTGGTTTCATTACTAATAAGAGCAGGATCAAGTATGATGATGAAACGGATGTTCTTATTTTGTAGCTCTGTGACATATCCCGAGAGATTTTTAAAATTTGCGTCATCCACTGTAAAGTCTTTTCTCTCATCCATATGGTCAATATCTGCATACTGTACATCTAAGGGGATTCTGTTATCAATCATTCTTTTAGTGGCTGCCTTCAAATTGTCCAAATTGTTATAGCCATACCGGCTTAACTGAAATCCTAATGCCCAGTAAGGTGGAAGATATGGTCGACCTATGAGTTCAGTGTACTGCTGTATGACATTCTCTGGTGTTGGACCCATAAAGATATAGAAATCAAGAATACCCCCGACTGTCCGGTAGGTAAGTGACGGTAGAGGACTTAACACTACCTCCATAGCGTTACTGTTAAGTAAAAGTACTCCATTCGAATTTCCTTGGTCATCTTCAACGCACATGTAAAATGGATGAACTCCATATAAATTTGCATAATCTCCCCAGTTCACACCATTATCGCGGGAAAACATGGGCCACCTTTTGAAATTCATATTGTGCTTGAAAGTAAAGTGTCGATTTTCGCCAAAGCCGTACACATATTCAGAGGGAAGTAGCGTTGCTAGCTGAAGGAATTGGTTTGCAAAAGTAAACCCTCCTATAGAGGTATCAAATATTGTTTTGTTTGTGTCTTGTCGTATCACTTTCAAGTAAAACATAGAATTTGTAGTGTTGGCATACTCTATTCTATATTTTTTATTTGTCGTAGGCGATTCATTTATTTTATTTAGGTGAACGGGCACCTCGTATCTACTGGACAATGGATCGTCGAATTTTAGCTGCACAATGCTTTCTGATATTTCATGAATACTTAATTTAATTTTATGCAAATCGCCTTCGAACATGGAAGATTGATTTCTCCACTGCAGGTTTATGGTATCATCAGATTCGATATTTTCGAAAACATAACCATACTTATTGTTATCTATAAAACACGCGGGAACAGAGATTTTGTTTTCTGCTTTTTGCCATATGCAGCCCCTTTTTTCACACGTTAACTTATTCCTATCTTCGTCACCAGATACATCTGGCAAACAGTCTATACGAGACGCTTCATCTTCTGTCGGTTTAAGTTCCTCTCTAAACTCGATAACAAAATCTTCTTTAAGAGTTCTTTGCAAATTTCTGATAATTTTCATGGTAGTACCTTCGACGTTAAAGTGCGAGTCATTTCCTTGTACGTAAGCATACTTAATATTCTCGTGCAATCCCAAAATTATCACAGTCTCTACCATCAAGTTTTGAACAAGTGTGTCATTCTTTTTTTGAACAGTCATGCTCAAAACATCGTTGCTGTATTGAAATTTAGTATGATAGTAACTGGAACTTTTCAAAGTATCAATGCTTTCTCCATCATCCCAAAAAAGTTCACCGTTCGCAGTTCGACGTCTCCCATCGTCATCCAAGGCTACTACAAGTGTGAAGGGTGTCAGACGACTCTCTTTGGTCGTCAGTGCCGGATTTTGTCGTGGAATGATACATCCACCCCTTACATGAAGAGGAATTTTAGAATCTCCATCAACATCCAAACTGAGCTTCTGCCCTCCTAAATAATGTTTACCTGTGTAAAAATCGTACCAATGACCAGGTGGTAAATAAAGAGACAACGTTGTTTGATCTTCATAAAGAATTGGAGAGATTAGAAGCCCTGGACCCCACAGAAATTGGGAATCTATGTCGTATGTCATTTTGTCTCTTGGAAACTCATGATGAAGAGGTCTCATGACAGTCCCACCTTTTGTGTGTGCTTTGTAAAACAAAGTGTACAAATAAGGAAGAAGAGAATATCGAGTTTCGAGGGCTATTCGCGACGCTTCAGCGACGTCCTCACCAAAGTAGGCCGGATCTTGAGGTATATTTCCAATACCATTATGGTTTCTGCTAAAAGTGTAAAATGCCCCCAACTGCATCCATCTCTTGCAAAGCTGTGAAGAAGAATTACCAAAGAATCCACATATGTCTGCCCCAATGTAAGGTATACCAAATAAATTAAATTCCAAACTGCCAATAATGGACAGATGAACATCTGGCCACACCGCAGAATTATCACCAAGCCAATGACCAGCATACTTTCCACTACTGGGAAACGTGGAACGCGATATAACGATTCCTCGTTTGTTGATAGCTTGTCTGAGACCTCTTAAAGTTGTGGGTGTCTGACTCCATCCATACAAACTATGAACATCATAGTGGTTGTACTCTTCTGCATTGCCCTGTTTAGCCACCATACATATTGTTTTGTCTGATATTCTTATTTTCTTATCCACTCTATCATATACAAATGCCGCCATTGTTCTGTATGGTGGATCCTCTAAATCTTCTCCTTCATTACACTTTAAACTCCAATATGGACGGGCTCCAGCTGGCCAGTTCCAGGGTTTTTCTTCATTGGTTCCAAAGTTGGCTGGCTCGTTCATATCGATCCAAAGACCATCAAATGTTAAATTACTGTGATGGTTCCTTATGAGTTCTTCCCAAACTTGTTGTGTTTCATTCTTGAAGAAATCTGGAAATATGACTTTTCCTTCTGGCCAAACCTAGAGCAAAGAAACATTTATCATTCATTCTTGCCAATCTTGTATATCATTTAATTGCCATACTGTTTCCATTCTTACACATAGAATCAGAGGGTTAAAATCTTGTAAAAATGAATCTATTTTATCAAAAACTGCGATTGGTACTTGCATTCAAAACTGGTACTACTTACTAAGATTTTCTCTCAAAACTTTACAAATATGATTTCAAGTACAATACAGTAAAATAAGTAGTAGTATGCATATACGTACGTATCCCAGTAGAGCTCCTATATCACTGCTATCATGAGGAATGCTGTAATTTTTTGGCCACATTATACTTCCCATGACATCTTTGATTTTCCCATAAGGTTCGTAACCAGAAACATTGCTTATCAATGTAGGATCCTATATAGAATATAAAAAGTAAACGAAAAATACACAATTATAAATAATTTTTACTGGAGCTTGAAATAATTTCCAGATTGAAAAATATTAAATGTTCCCAAAGAAAAATATCTGATACATTTTTATCTGAAATTCTTCGACTAAAGAAATAAGATTACCAAAATGATAATGGTCTTCATTCCTTGTTGTTGGAGATTTTTGAAGTAGGCATTAAGTCCAGGAAATCGTTTGTGATCTATCGTAAAGTCCATCTGCTTGTACATATGATCAATGTCTGCATATTGAACATCCTAAATAAAAATTAACACCATAACAAAAAATTCGTGCACAATTTCTCTCTATCATTTGAATTTAGAGAGCAATTGAGATTATGGACATAGTGAGATCATAAAAAGGATGCCGTCTTACATGTGGTATATTGGCCTTTCTTGTTCTGTTTACCGCCTCTTGCATGTTTTCTATTGTGTTGTAACCATAACGACACAACTGGAAACCAAGAGACCAGTATGGTGGTAAATATGGCTTTCCAATGGCCTGAAATTGTACATATAACGGTTAGCGGACAATACAATATTTTACGATCAAAACTGACAATGACCTTTTTCCCGTACCGTATGGTATTGCTGAACAACATTTTCAGGCTCTGGTCCCATGAAAACATAGAAATCAAGAATTCCTCCAATTGTTCTATAGATCAACATAGGGAGAGGTGTAAAGGCGTAATCTAAAGAAAATAACAACAAAATGTAGGTAAAAATCACGAAAACGATACTTGCAATTTATCTCAAAAGAATGATAAAATAGAAAAAATAAGGAAAATTATAATTACAAAAAATACCTATAATTATCTGTAGATATTATGTTTCTGACCTTGTGCGTTACTGTTAAGTAGAAGAACTCCATGAGCCTGACCATCTTCCTCCATACACATGTAGAATGGATGAACGCCATAGTGATTATTAAAATTCTGTAATCAAAATTCAAATTGTTAGAATTCTGAATAATTCTCAAGTTAGAATGCTGTATTTTCATATGGGTTGGAACAATGAAGATGATATAAAAAATAAATATTTAACCTGGTTTCCGGTTCCCTCGTCTCTGGAGAACATTGGCCACTGTTTCCAGTTGACGTCATGGCGGAATTTCCCATGAAGATTTTCACCAAAACCGTAAATATTCCTTGAAGGTAGTTTTGTTGCAATTTGAAGGAACTGGTTTTCGAATGTTAACCCACCTACTCCCGTATCCCAGCTGAAATGTTAAACAAAATACCAAAAACTCTTTCATAATATAGAGAGCGCTGGAATATACATTTAGACCTGCAACAAATGATTTGACATTATCAAAACGAACGAGTACCTGACTATTTTTTCTTTCAGGAATACTAGTACCTTAAAAATCAGCTAAATTTGCATTTTACCGTCATACCAAAGTAGGATACGACCCAGAATTCTCTGACGAGGCTGTAATTTTACTGCTTTTACTTAACAAAGGTAAACTGTATCCCTTTACAAAAGTCGAATTATCATTTTGCATGTAACCGCATCCAAACGTGAAATTCAAAAAAAGTTGACCAAAGAGCTGCAAATGATCACTGGTGACTTTGCAATGGATTGTATAGCCAGGGGAACCTTAAGGTTTTTATTCCCGAATAGAGATGCGAATAGGATTTAAAGCGAAGACCAAAGTCCTTTTCTCTTCATGTCAATTTTTTTTCAACAAACGTATTTATTAATGTTACGCAAACACGTGTTTGTGTTTGTTTATTCTTGTCATCTATTGGCTGTTACAATGGTCACCTAGTCAGGTGACATAAATATTCATAGCACGGGCTATTACTGACCGTGAAGGGAAAGCCATTCGAAGGCTCTATTTCGTGCAGTCTTATTAGTCCCACCCACCCGCCCATTGCTTAGTTTTGAATGTTATATTAGATTTATACCTTGTTGAAAATATTTATTTTCTATTTTGTAGAATTCGGACATTGATGAGGAAATAGAAAAAAGAGATATTATATGTATTGTGTGAAATAATTAAACTGCACTTTCAGAGCGCTTCATATCCTATTTCACGAGTTTGTGTTTATTTCATAAATGTTTTATGTTCGTTTGAGTGAAACGAATAAGAACATAATATCAAAAATAGATATGTGTTATTCTCCAGAATAGTTATAACTCAGTTTCTGAGAGTATACTTACATGACTGCTTGAGAACTTCGTCGTATTATTTGAAAAGCGAAGGTGTCATTATTTGTTATTATTAATTCGTATCTTGGTTCGTTACTGTGTTTATGAGGAAATATCTCCATATTTAATGGAACTGTGTATCTATCCTTCGATGGAACATCAAGCTATCAAATAAGACGAACACATGTGTTATTATACATAAAATGATGAATACTAGTACTCGTATATAGAAATAACATGCTGAAACTGTACAATGATGATAATATAAGGCATTTACCTTAAAACGGAACATCGAGTCTCCATAACACTCAATCTCAAAGACGAGGTCGTCTATAGGGTCCTTGAATGGGGGATTTCCTTTCCTTTTTAAGGGCACATGCCATCCATAATCAGTCTTATTAACAGGCCCTGAGATGCTATATCCATAGTTAGTCCTGGGAAAGAAACAGTCAGGGGCCTCCGATTGGGTGATACTGTAGATGCAATGTCTTTGCTCACATTTTTCCTTAGTTAACGTTTCATATTTTCCTAGACGCTCTGGAAAGCAGTCAATTCTGAGGATATCATCATAGCTCCCATTCCTGAAACGGAATCAGATAAAAAAAATACTCATGGCAAAAATCATTAAGTTAAAATCAGTTTACAGAAGAACTTGCTTACGAACTCCATTATAAAGTAATCTTTGTTATACACATGTAAACATATGTAAACTCATTTACTTATAGAATCGGTGTCGGACATTAGAAATACAAAGCAAATTCCGAAAGACAGATTCTATTAAAGATATATTTTTGAACATCGTCTTAGTTGAAGAAAGTTATCAAGTTTCCTGGCTAGAAATTTTGTTTAGCATTGCGATCGATCATAAATAATTTTCTTAAGTCTGCTGCTGGATTACTTACATCCATTTTATGTCAAATTCCTCAGAAAGTGGATGAGACAAGTTATATATGGTAAGGATGTGCCCCTGGAAGATGAAAAGTTTTAAATCATTGCAAAATCATATGTGGTCAAATGCTTCATCATAGAAAAATAAGACACTTGATTTTTGCTTCAGTTCTTGTTCTTGATAATTCTTCTTTGTCAATCTTTGTTAATAAATACTTTTTTTGAAAATCGTCTGTATGGCATATATAGCGAATGCAATTCTTATTTGTGTCCTGCTATATCACAAAATATCAAGGTTTGTTTTGCGTTGTATTTTATATTCTTTCATATATTCATGTTTAAGTTGAGCATTCTCTGGCGTATCTGATCAATTTGGAGACATAGACCAGTTGAGAAATGTATATTTTTACATAAGAAAGGGAAGCTGACGATAGATTGGTTTAAATAATCACGTTTATCATCAAGTTCTGTTTTCAGGTTACCATCAAGTCATTTTTGCGTGTAAAATATTCAAATATGAAACATATATGTCAGACTCTGTGGTATCTTTAATTTCAAGCGAGCTTGGATATGAATGAAAGAAACTATTGTTAATTGATAATACATTGTCGATACATCTAAATGTCGAGTTGAAGGCCTCAGCAAGTGTTCTTCTTCTCATGTATAGGGTTTTGAATAAAGTTTGCTTCATATGAATACAAAATAGTCATAAAATGAAATAAGAATAACAATCAAACAAAACAGTAACATAAAAGAAATATAGATTAATTATTTCACGTCTCTTACAAACATATATTTTCTTAAATAAAACTGTGATATAATCAATCTTTCAAACCTCATCGTACTTTTTTCTGGATGAAAGAATCAATTATAAACAATAATATATAATACTATTTTGCTGAAGTTTGTCAACTGTTGTGTGCTATCCTTAAGAACCAGAGTCACGTCCCCTTGCATTCCCCAGATCTCTATTTTGTCTATTTTTACACCCTCTTCAATGGCAGCGGGGTTTCCTTCTTCTATCCTATACTTCAGTTCTGACTAGAAGAAAAATAAAAATATATATATATATACTTATATACCACTTGTCTATTTCTCTGAAACGTTGTATAAACTAACACAAGGCAAAATGCATATAACTTCATTGACTTCATTTTTAAAAAAAAAAGTTTTCAATGCATAAAATGCTTCATGTAAAAGTTTAATGAAATGTATGTTTTGAGAATGTTGTAGTTTTAAGGCATAAAACAATCCTGATAAGAAATTAAATTAATTGACTTGGATATGCAAATATTGATCTTTAAAGGTAGCTGCAAACACATCCTTTATTATTTTTGGTTATAGTTCATAGCTGCAATCCTCATTTACAAAAGACGCCATTTTCATAAGGCGACAATGAAAAGAATTAAAAGTCGCATAAAACTACATAAAAAGAGTATTCCGTCAAGCAATGCTGCTAATTAACTTCAGTTAATCTCTTTAACAGATAAGATAAGATAAGACAAACACTCTTAAAGCTAATATACTGGTAACAGAATGGCATGTTTTAATCTGTTTCATTTGAGCCAGTGGGAGTGGGGAAAATGGACTTTACCATTATGGACAGATTGTTTCTTTTAAATATCTCGTGTTTTTACCTGTTCAACAGTTATTGATGCCAGCAAAAATTTGTTGTTTTCGATAGTTTCTGAAGAAAAAAAAATCATAACTTTTATTTTTAGCGCTTCAATCACCTCATGATACTAAAATATAATTTTGTGCTTAAATTAGAAGAAATTCTGTTGCAGAAAAATGTTACAACCAAGCTTAAGACTTGTTGAAGAGAAATAGCAATATTTTTATATTCTTATTTTCTTCTTAAATCAAGAGATATATTTTCAGCTTAATATGTGGAAAACATTATACTAGTATTCCTCTGTAGTGAAAACAGATATCTACCTATGGAGACTCCGTCATCCCAAAATAAGCTTCCTTTTGCCCTCCCCTCTTCATCCAACGCTACCAATAATGTCAAGGGGTTCTTTCGACTGAAATTGAAATATTTTATAGATGTTTTGAACATAACGATTTTCCTCACATTTGAATACAAAATGCTTTTAATTTTGACATACTGAAAATAGCGGGTGTGCATTATATTAAGTTTCTGTTATAAATAAATACCTTTCTGCAGTAGTCGTCGAAGAAGTTTGTTGAGGAATGATGGATCCACCCCTGACATTCAACGGAATCTTAGAATCGAGCCGTACGTTTTGTGTGAAATTTCTACCCGTACTCTGGGTGGGAGATCCCTGAATAAGAATATTGTAAAGAGAAAGGGTTATCAACATTGCCACTCATAACTATGACAGATATATCAAATTTGCACTGTATACAACTAAGTCATTATTAGTATTCTTTTTTCGAATATTATCATTAACAAATGATTAAAAATTATATATATTTACGATTTTAAAGATACAACGAATTCACCATTTATCTCTTTAGATTTAATACTTGTAACAGCTATATATTGTTTATCTTTTTTTTTTTACACTGACCATTGATATAAGTTTCTATCAATATTAATGTACAATATTTATTTATCTCTGAATTTGACCAGGATATCATTTGGAAAATTTTCAAAGCAAAGACTTACAGAGTAATAGTCGTACCACTTTCCAGCAGGTAGGTAGTACGTGATTGTAGAGGCATTCTAATGAAAGAACACAGTTATTACAAAAAATCTTTTAATGTTTCTCTTCACATGAAAAACTTTAAGGAGAAAACTAGAGGTTTGTGAGCAATGAGCTCACTAAATGATACCCCCGCCTCCCATATAGTTATAGTGGAAAATTCAATGTTTTTCTGTGGCCGAGAAACCCAAAGTATGTGTCGGACCAAAAAGTACAAAAGGAGGTGCACAATGGCCATATGTAATAAAGATTCTGTGAACGTTTCATTAAATTACAGTCAGTGGTATAAGAGGAGTTGCGGATAAGAGATGGGTACCCAAAACGTAACAGATGGACGTACGGACAGCTGGACGTACAGACAAACAGACGGAGGGACAGACATACCGATTACTATATACCCTCCCGCTTTTTAAGCGGAGGGTATAATAAAGAACAGTGGTTGATTACAAAACCTACAAACATAACAAATCTTTGAACATCAACAGTTAAAACTTGGATCATACTCTGAATACGACAATATTGAATAAGATGGAAGACATCAACACCATGTGCAAAGGATGACGGGTTATTTTAATACATAAATAGGAAAAGTTGAGATTTAGTCCCTTACCGTCCACAGTAAAACATCCAAATGTGAATCAATTGAAAAAATGAATTGAAAGTTACTACATGTATTATTAATAGATAAAACGTCGTCATTATATTTGAATGTTAAATTAAAGGCCACAAAAAGTATTTCTTTCTCATAAAGAAGAGTTTAAGTAAATTTTGCTTCCAGTGAACAAAAGCTCTGCTGTAAAAAGATCCAGTTAGTGTTCGTATGAATTTTGAAGTTGTTGAAAGATCTGTTCTTCGATGAAATTTTCCAACTTTCTTTTAACTTAATCTCAGGTTATTATACCCCCGCTTGAAAAGCGGGAAGGCATATAGTATACATAGTATAGTATAAAGAAATCTGTACGTCTGTCTGTCTGTCTGTCTGTCCGTTATGCTTTGTGGTACGCATCTCTTATCGGCAATTCCACTCACACCACAGAATGAAATTTGATGAAACTTTCAAAGAATCTTTATTACATATTCACATTGTGCACCTCCTATTTTACTTTTTGATCCGACACACATTTTGGGTTCCCCATTGCAAAACATGGACACTGCAATTGTATTCATATGGGAGGTATCATTTAGTAAGCTCATTCCTCACAGTACCTCTAGTTTTATATAATATAATTTTGTATACGACCAATGACAAACTGATACAAACAAAAGGTGAAGTACCTGATAAAGTATAGGAGATATCAGAAGAGAGCTTCCCCATAGGAACTGCTCTGAGATTTCCAAGGTATATTTGTCACTTATAAATCTGTAAAAGAAATTTGCTAGTATATTTATACACCATCATTTTTTGTTCAGATTTATAAGTTTTGATGCACTTTACAAATTCAATGCAAGGCTAAGATGGTTCGGGTACTGGTTTTTGCTACATACTATAGTAGATTATGGTAGAAATTAGTTTTCTATGAATATTCATCTTATGAATATAGTTTCATCATGAATCTTTAAGAGAAAAAATAATAATTACGGTCTTAAAGATTCAAAATAAAGAAAGTTTCAGAATTGTCCGAGTCATTTCTAACATACTCGTGATGAAGAGGCCGCACAACTGTATTTCCATGCTCATGTGCAAAGTAGAATAATGTGTACAAGTATGGAAGGAGTTGATAGCGAGTCATCAGTGCTTCACGAGAAGCAATAGTCACGTGGTCACCTAGGGCAGCTGGATCTTGCTCCTAAATTAAAATATCGATAGTTAAACCTTTTTCAAAAGAAATAAAATAATTTTAAAAAATTCAATATTTGAACAACATAGATAAGAATCATTTCTCGGAGTTTACAAATAGCATAAATAAAATGGTCCATTGAATCTCTTGGAGAATATTCTGCTCTTTTTATCAAAAAAAATTTTAACAAAGGAATGAAATTGTATTATAAACATGGCTTTTATCATTTTTTGAGTGTTCTAACTTTGTAACTACACTGAATATTTCCTAAATATTTGCCTGAGGATTGCACGGTTTAGAAGTGTTTTTCACATACAATGTTGCCTATTCCGTTGTGGTTGCGAGAAAAAGGATAAAAAGCACCAAGCTGCATCCATCTGAGACAGAGATCTGCTGTTGTGTTACCAAAGAAGCCACAAATATCTGCTCCAATCTGTAAACAACAAAATAGTTCTTAAAAGTTATTGTAATTACATTTATTGTAATTAATTTCACAACTTGTGCAACTTCGTGTGTATGAGAGAGAGAGAGAGAGAGAGAGAGAGAGAGAGAGACTTACATAAGGTATTCCAAACAAATTGAATTCCAACATCCCTAAAACAAAAGAAAGATTGGAAATAAAAGGCAAATAAAAGTACATAACAAATTATGATTATTTTGATAGTATTGTCCTAAGATCTAGTTTTCGACATACCTATAATTGAGTTTCGCATTGACAGCCAGGAGCTATCATTATCCCCCAACCAGTGCCCCCCGTACCTGCCACTACCTGGATAGGTGGACCTAGAAATGACCACGCTACGCTCACCCGTGGCCTCACGGATGGCACTGCAATAGTACCATAGAGTAATGAACGAATATATAGACACAAATGAATTTTATGCAGTTGTGTATATTTTGATTAAAATAGTATGAAATACATACTTTTTCAATCTGCAACAATACAAAAAAGTTTTTCTAAAATCCAAAAGTCTTAAATTGTTGGCATTTTACGTATTTGTGCATATTTTCAAAGTTGAGGGTCAACATTAAGTCTGTCTAGAAATCATTAAACGCTTATTTTTGTTTCATATATTGATGATTCTAGTAACTAAGAAACCACTCATGTACACATTGAGTTTTTAATTATATGGAAAATTTACAATTTTCAGTCGATGAAGTAAACTTTGAAGCAAACTTTCTAATATACCGTGGTAAATGATAATGATTTTGACAATGTAAAAGAGATAAATGAAGAATTAAAGAGATTTTTACTCCAAAGTGGGTTTAGTCTGGCTCCACCCGTACAAACTGTGAACATTGTAGTGCAGTAGTTCATTTCTGTCGCCCTGTCGTGACGTCATACAGATAGTCTTGTCTGAGATTCGAATTTCCTTCTCGGCACGGTCATGTACAAAAGCTGCCTCTACAAAACAAATGATTGATGGTAAACGGTTTTTTATGTCTTCTTTTACGAATTGTAATTTTCTCGTTTGAAGTGAGCATTTCGATAATTCCACTGTCGTTGTAATGAATTTGTTAGCAAATATAACCTATCCTCTAGTCGTATTTTGGCCGACTTGTTATATATGAATTGTTAGGCCTTTGTTTTTATAATGAATTTGACTACGAGACGTTCCGTCTCCCTGATCGATACATAGAGCTCGAGAGGGAAGTGGCCGGTAAACAGGGGATAGTTACTCCTCCTAGGCACCTGATCCCATCTCTGGAATTTCCAGGTGTCCATGTTTTAGGCCCATTTCATATATTATATATATATTTAGATCAATCACCTTTTACGTTTCGAAAACAGTTTTTTTTTAAAAAGTATTTTAACTCGTTGGACTTTCTGGATAAAATAATATTCAATTAAAGCTGATTGCAAGTCTTTAGGATACCGTTTATTTTATTTTATTTTTTTTTTTTTTGGTAGAAGATGATTTGGCCACTGCGTAAGAAATGAGAAAATGAACAGTATTCAAGCCTCAAACGTCCCCTCAAACAGTATTATTCAGAAACAGAGCAAACAAGTGCCTCTAAATCATCAGCGGTAGGACCAGGCGCCATGGAGGACTGAGCATCCTCTACTGAACGGTCACACCCGTGTAGTGCTCTTTGTCATGATCGGTAAAACATAAAATAACGTAGACAATTTATTGTGTTAATAATGGACTAACAATTAGAATGAAAAAGTCAGTACGTATTTGTCGAAACACGTTTATCCTACAGCATAGTAGTTATGTTTCCATTAACGCGTCTTTTATAGTAAAATTAACTAAAATATCCAAATATGAAACAGATGTATAAGACTCTATGGTTTGTTTTACTTCAAGCTTACTAGTGTACATGTATCGAGTCGACAAATGGATCGAAGGAACTATCGTTAATTGATAATACTTTCTCGATGTATCTTAATGTAAAGAATATAAATTACTCACTGGTTCTATAGGGCGGATCCTCCAGGGGCGAGTCTGGACAATGCAGACTCCAGGGGGTCGTGTTAGGAGGATAATTCCAGGGTTTCTCTTCATTTGTTCCAAAATTAGCTGGCTCGTTCATATCCTAAAATAGGAATTGGGTAAAACTCTTGTTTTGGCATGTTTCCAGAAAACACACCGTCCTATTGTACAATTTCATTGGTCTTTAAAATTGTGATATTTTCATGGAATGAAAAATTTGATTCAGATAAAAATTCTACTATTTTGAGAAATCCAAATAAGGAAAAACTATATCTCCATAATGTACTTCGGTTTATTTTCACAGACAAATACAAAAATCTTACAATCCATAAGCCATCCATCACTAGTTTATTTTTCCGGTGATCCTTTATGAGTTCTTTCCAGACGTTTTGAGTAGCCGATTTAAAGAAATCGGGAAAAACAGCTTTTCCATTTGGCCACACCTTTAAGTGTTATATACATGTACAATGTTATTTGGATAATCCAAGATTAACAAATATATAAACAAATAACAATGGATAATTAAAATTAATCAAATTGTCGTTTTCCTGCATTTAAGAATGGTCTTCAGCCGGAGGGATTGAACACTTACATAGCCTAATAACGCCCCTGTTGGATCCTTGTATTGTTCGTCTCCCGGTGCATCACGCCACATTACCCCACCACTTACGTCGCTTAGTTTTCTGTAAGGTTCGTATTGCGGGTCTGTACTTAATAAAGCCGGGTCCTATTGAGAAAACACATTTATGAAACAAACTTTATAATGTTTACTGCAGTCATATAAGATCAATGTTGAGGTAAGGATATGTATTGTTCTTCGTTGGAAGTTTGATCAATTCAAATTGTTTTTAGAAAGATAGTATTTTTCACGAGTCCTAGATCATACTTATCTTGATTTTTTGGTAGTATTCAATGACATATTTTGTAAATATTTTAAATTAACTTTTCTTTGAATCTAGTCTCTTACGACTTTTAAAGGCTTGCAAGGAAGAATTATAAAAATAATTTCATTGCTTAAAAAATCTGCTATTTAATTCAAACTACTTTTTTCTTGAGTATAAACATACCGAAGGAGACTGTCTTCCTTCAAGGCTTGTATTATGAATGTTAATATTAAACACAATGTTAACTTCAAAGTGCTTGATGAATCTTACATAGGCTTCTGTAAACATTAAAATATTTTACTCACTAATATGATTATTGTTCGCAATCCTTCGCTTCTTAACTCATCAAAATATTCCTTCAGTCCCTTGAAGTTCACCGGGTCAATAGTAAAATCCTTTTGTTCATTCATGTGATCAATATCAGCATACTGTACATCCTGTGAAATCAACCGTTTTATAGAATTTATCTGCACTTTTAATGTGTGCAAAATTGTATTGACATTCTCCAGAAATCTGAATTTGAGTCTTAAATCTTGTCGCTTATTTTCATTCATTACTTGGATGCCAGCGGTTGCATAACAGAAAAGTACAACCATCTAACAAAGTAAGGCTTACTTTATGAATACTTGTAGTTATATATTATAATAATAATATTTATATAATATAATTATATTCGTAAAGAACTGGAAACCCAGAATACCTATGGTGTGTAAATACTTTCCTCATCTTGCACTTTAATAAAATTTTTCATAAAACTTATTTAATATTGTTTATAAAGATTTTGTCTTTGATTATTTATTTGAAGTCTTTTGTTTATATACTATTCTCCATTGAATAATTTATGTGTACATTCATAAAGTCTTTAAATGACATGTTCCTATATTTGAAAACTGCAATAGTTCTCCTTAATGATGTATCTTGGTTACAAGTTTATAGCACATAAATTGCAAGAATGTCAATATTTATCAAGTTTTTGTAAATAAATAATTTTTAATATGAATATTAACTTTCTGTAAATAAATTACAACATTTCAAATATAGAATATGAGCATCAATAACAAACAATTATTTAGAATCTAAATTAGAAGTTTTCAAATTATGAATAACTAGTTTTCGAAAATAAGTATTATTGAATGTATGACAAAGATTTGCCTATTATTGCAACGTTTTACGTGCAATAGCGAACTGTGTCGAAAATTTATTGAATTCCATGTTGATTAACATGGATGTCAAATTCTTACCTTTGTGTACTGTTGAATGACATTTTCAGGTTTTGGTCCCAGAAAGATATAGAAATCTAGAACTCCCCCAATGGTTCTGTACGTCAGCATCGGTAAGGGTGTGAATGCATAATCTGAAAAATGTTATATTCAAAAAAGGAACATTCTTATAATAAGGTACTTATAATACTTCAAACTATTATCAATTCTTTTTAATAATTGATACAATTTCAAATATTTCAATAAACGTTTTGTCTCAGAAAATACATTTCGCATACAAAAAAAAAAATCACATTCGCTTTTCTTAAAATTAAGTAGTTAAATAAATAAATAATGGCTTTCTTTAAAAAAAAAATACAAATTTTTGATTGTAGTTCTGTTTCAGAAAAACGTTAAATATATGATTTTGCTTGAAAAACTCAAATATTTCATATAAGGCTTTCTAAGGCTTTGGTTTTGAATTTTTTTTATGATGATGGTAAAGAAGGAATATTGATGAAAATTGTAATTAACGTTTATTGTGAAATCTTTTCATTAATAATTACCTTGAGCATTGCTGTTAAGCAATAAGACTCCATGTGTATTTCCATCTTCCTCTACGCAGGTGTAAAAAGGATGTACCCCGTATAAATTGTAATGATGCTAAAAATCAATAAATATGTATAAATATTACATTTGACTACGAGAGGATTTTCCTCCCTAAACTTCGGAATAAAAAAAATATAATTTAAATACCCTCTCCTATATGTAAAAAAAATCGAAAAAAAATTATTGACATATACAAATAAATATAAGTGCTTTCAGAGGTAAAAAATAGTACCCTGAAAATTTAAATAATGTTCAAAGGTTGGACCAGGTGCCTTTCAAAAAAATCGATAAACAATACAAATATAAGAAAAGGACAAAAATACGGACCCTGGATATTTCAAATCCACTGTGAGAGATCCATTCATTGAATCCACTGGTAGACCGAACTTTCCCTAGTTATATCAGTATTAAAACAAAGACCTAACAAATTGGTATAAGTCAGCCAAAATACGACACAATGATAGGTTTCATTTGCAAACAATTATAACGACCATAAAATTTACGAAATGCTGAGCTTAAATGAGGCTGATGAAATTCCTGAAACATCAACTTTTCAGTGAGCATCCCTTTAAAAATTGATCGTTCTCAGAGTTACCTCTTAAATAAAGAATTAGTTGGGAGACTAAAACACCATAAGGAATCTTGCTGATGACCAATCACAGACGTGAAAATTTCCGAGTTCCGTTTTTATTTCAGAAACGGTTGGCTGTAATGTCAAAAAAGTTTTGACTTTAATTTATTGCTAGAAATTGTTGATTTTAGAGTTTTGTGGAGACCTACATTTGATTAATACCATTTCTAGAATATGCTGAACTCGGCAATTGTCATATCTTTTAATTGGTTATCAGCATGCAGAATTATTTTGTTTAAAACCATTCAGATTACACACACACGTACTTTGAAGCTGACTTGTTTCTATATTCTTATGAAGCAGAGTTTATCCCAAAACTTCTACCTAAAAAGGGAAAAACACTTGCTGTGGCCTTCAAATCGAGATTAGAGATATGTCGACGATGTTTTGTCAATTAACAAACATTATCTTTATATATATGTCAACTCAATATGTCACAATGAACTTGAAACGAAAGACACCACAGAGTCTGTCACATCTGTTTCATATTTTGACCTTTTACTGAATATAGTCGATAAAAGGCTAACTAACAATTAAATTGTACGACAAACGAGGTGATTTCAATTCTTCCACCATAAAGTAGTAATATTCCACTATTACTTTCTTGTGGTGTTTATGTCACGCAACTTATTCGCTTTCCAAGAGATTGCTTTGAGTAAGACCACTTGAAGCAAGGCATGTTTTCATGGACAAGATGATGATACAGTGATTTTTAAAACATCCTTTATCGTCGGCATTTTGTAGAGTCTGTTCTCGTGATAATGGCATTGTTAACTAATATAACCATATTCTTTTATTGGGTAGAATTTTGGCTGACCTGTTTCATATTAATTGCACGGCCTTTGTTCTTTCTTTTTATACCGAATTTAACCACAGAAAGTCCCGTTTACTTGATAAATACATAGGGCTTAAGGTTGGTATGTTCGGACAGGGATGTTTACTCCTCCTGGGCACCTGATCCTACCTCTCAGTCTGAAAATTCGAGGATTTTATGTTTTATGCCCTCATTTCATATTTGTTTTGTGTATAAATTTTTTGAGATCGATCACTGGTTGTAATTTTCACCTTTTTTAAAAATATTAAACTATAAGCAATTCAAATAATATATACACGACAAATAGTCGTGTATTATTTGAATTTCTTATAATTAAATGATTCGATATTATGATTTTTAGTGGTTGTCACTTAGAAAGCAACAACAACTAGGATGATTTTTGTTAGTAACCAATGATTATTCTATCTTGAATTCTAATCAGTGGTGCAAAAATCATAGCATAATATGCCTGCTGTTGATAATATACGATTAAACCAATGATGCATTATGCTTTAGTAATAAAAACTTGACCGTTTTCCACGCTCCTATTCAAAAACCTTTTGTAATTTTTAGTTTTCTTTTTATATAAAGGTGATCACTGATGTTTTAAGAAAAGGTACGTATCCCTTTGGTGGAACCTTGAAGACTGCACATGTATTGTCCGAAGAAATGTCAGTGATCTTGGGCTCCTGACGTTAGGTATGATAAAATTAACTCTCATTACTATAGACAATACGTCTGTCGAACTGGGAACAATCTATTTCAATTGTTTCCTCATAAAATAACGTCAAGGCATTTATGATACACAGATTTATATTTGTATATACTGTACAATGTACTTTGTACTTTATTACTCTTGTCCTTGACTTAAATAACAAAATTAAGAAATAGGACGTTTCTTCAAAAAAATTTTAATGCCTTTTTTCCTGGGTTATGTCTTATCGCAATGTATCTGAGTGAAACCAAACTTTAAAACATCTAGGTAACTATCCTCGTCCCTGTATACCGCTCTTTGAGTGCATGTAAACTAGACCTTCATAAGTTTTAAAAAGTGCATGGGTGCTCAAAGAATTGATACTTTGATACCCGTTAGCTTTGTTACAATTGGAAATCAATAAATTATGATATTGACTTTACCCTATCAGTTTAGCTACACTTTGGACAGACACAGTCAAGAGTGCAGCAAAATAGTTTTATGTTTTACATGGGGTGAAAGGACGAAAGAAAAACAGCAGGTTTGCCTTAGTTTCTTTGACTTACTTTGAATTGAAATGTTTAGATTTTTAACATGATTTCACAAACTTAGCGTTGTTGAAAAACAACAACAACCCAGCAATAAAAACCTACAAAACAGTGTTTGAAATTTTAAGTTTTTAGAGCATAAAATCAATATCAATATCATTAATTGCAAGAACAATATTCTTTTTTATTATGTTCTATTAATTTTTTACTATATAGTGCTTGAATCCCAACAAAAATTGCAATAATTAAAATGTAATGTTATTAGAAATGAGAATAATGTTATAAGTATAGAAAATTTAAATTCCTGACGATTTTTTAGATATCTTTGTTAATATCCTTTCGTACGTAAAATGAAAATCTAAATCAAGAGAAATCTAGTGAAAGAGACTTACTATCCCCGGTGTTCCTTGGTCACGTGAGAACATTGGCCACTGTTGGTTGTCCATGTTATGTTTAAAGGACTGATGGACGTTCTCTCCAAATCCGTACACGTTGTAGCTGGGAAGACGTGTAGAAAATTGGAGAAACTGGTCAGTTAGAGTCAAACCGCCAACTGATGTGTCCAATCTGCAACAAAAAGGCAATAAATTTACTAGGTGGGGAACACCAATAAGTCATATTGTAATTTTTGTATTTACTACCAAGATAAATTCAAAAATTACAATATGACAAATATCTGACCCCGATTGAATTCTAACAACGTCAGTCAAATTCTTTTTACCATGTCTGCAGACTCATCAAGTTAAAAATTACTCTGATTCTACAAACGAGTACTCTAAAGCTAATATTTAAACAGTTGCTTGAGTTTCTCATTGACAATATCTATGTAGTCTTTAGAGATCAGAGTTCTCAACTATCCCATGGGTAGTAATTTTTAGTTTACTTTTTACAAAAAACACAGATACATAAAAAAGAAATCTGTTGATATGGCTTTCATTTCGAGATCTAGAACTATGTTGTTAAAGTTTTTTCAATTAAAAATTATAAGTCTCAGTCAAACATTGTCTCGATTATATTTTGCACTGAACAAAGATTAAAAGACACCACAGATTTCGTCAGAAATGCTTCATATCTCAGTATTTTACTTTAGAAATTTTAATAGCAAACTAACACCTAAACTGTATGCTATAGGGATTATTTCAATTTTTCTATCGTCAACTTCTCATATTTAGGTAGCAATATACCACTATCACCTGTATAGGAGGTTTTATCGTCAACTTTCCCTATTTTCGTAGGAATGTTCTATTTTAATTCAATTGTATATGGGTTCTATGTCTCATGGTTGATTTGATATGCAAGAACATTGTTTTTTGTACGAACTTCTAAAACGCAGCAGGTCACTGAAAAACAGTTGATGAACCAAGAATATCTACGGTGTCGCTTGAAGTCTTCATTTCCCAGAGTTAATGGTCGATACTTTGGCCTTGTTTGCAATACAATCTTTCCTTAGACCGGTTGTTAAACGATCTCTTTCATACAAATTGTAATGCTATTATATTCATACTGAATTGACTACATGTTATTCTCAGTTTATCAAATGATTTCAAATGGTACACGCCGGGTTTGGCCGATCGACAGTTTTTATGTTCCATGGCACCTAACCCATCTCTGTTTTGAGGGGTCCGTGTTTGCTCTTTCTATGTATTGTTTCAATTGATTATTGACCTTGATCACTAATAGTTGTTTTCAAATTTCATTTCTCAGAAACATCAAAATTATCTATTTTCACAAGAAAGTACTTACAACACCGCGCCTGTAGACTTTCTGATCAACTTGAAAGCAAATTTTTCTCTGTCCACAATTTTAAATTCGTATTTGGGATTCTTGGCTTTCTTTGGTGGGGTGTTGATTTGGAGAGGAACGTGGTATCGGTTTGTTTTAGCATCATCAAACTAGAAAATAAAAAAAAGTTAAAAATTTCAATCTGTACTTTAAAATCTTCTAGCATGCCAGAGGAGACCATGATCTTTTTACCATGCAAAAATTAAAACAAAAAAAATTGATCTGGTAATAGTATGCATACATGATATACTTTAAACTATTCTTTTCAGCGGCAGTTAATTTCAGAATTACTCCTTGTTAAGTGTTTTAATAATTATGTTTAACGGTGTCGAAATTTTTTCACAACTCTTTATGACATTTACCCATACTATTGCATTATGTCAACATTATATTATGTCAACTCTTTATGACATTAACCCACATAACATTGAATTTTTTATATATCGATCATCAAAATGTTATAAATTATAAAGATTATAGCAACAAAGCCAGGTCGTTAACATAATGTATGATTTCTTTCCTAAATTAATTAAGAAACAATAGCAATAAAATTGTCTTGGAGATCAGAATCATATTTTTTTAATTTTTGCACAAAATCAACAGAGTGACATAGTTTAGCAAATATAAATTTTACTATAAACTATAGTATAAATGCATGAAAATGTTTTAAAAATCTTATAAATTTTTTTCTCTTCAAATTTCAATTGCTCTTCACAGACTTTAATGGAAAGAAACATGTTGAAACACTATACCTTTATTCTAACTAAATCGTCTCCGTGTTCTTCTATCTCAATAACAGGCTCCACAAAATCAGCACTTCTTCCATTAAATGGACTTTTCCCTCTTTTTCTTAAATAATAAATAGACTTCAAGGCAGTCACCGACTCTTGAACCACGGAATAACCATAATCCGAATTAGCAGGATACACACAACTCGTATTCGACTGTTCTTGTACAAAAACACAATTCCTTTGTTCACATTTCTCCTTGGTGAGCTTAACAAAGTCTCCCTGAGCCTCTGGCAGACAGTCGATTCGTTGATGGAGTTCTGCAGGAATGGCGGGTACCGGCGCCTGGGTAGGGGGTATGATGGGGCCGTCCTGTCGTTTATCCGGTTGCTGGATGAGGTAGACGATAGGAGTGATGATACAGGCGAGGATAACGATGATAAGCAATGTTATCCCTACCCGTTCCTTGCTGCATCGTTTTGCCATTCGCCACCGGCAGGAAATTGAAGGCACCCCTATCTATCTTAATCTGCCCCAATATTTGTGAATGCACGAGTATATGTCCTTACCCTAAGGTTTATTTGTTTAACTGAAATAATATCAACACAGGAATTTGCAGCCTTATCAATCGCTTGACACCTCTTCTTCTACCATTGGCTCATCGGTGTATTATATTTGATAACACAAAAGAACTACGCGGCAAAATTCATACACAAAAAATTATTTTTATCATGTTACACAATGCATACGTGCATATGCGTTTCCATCTGTGAAGAAAACTCCTTACTATACGAAGTAAACATGCATTTTCTGAAGTCGGTCGTGCATAAACTAGTAAACATAAACCGGAATATTAAAGTAGACATTCCCCTTCCGACGTCACAACGTCTTAAGGTTTGTTTTTCGCTGATTAATAACTTTTAATTGCCAATGAGTACATTACTATAAATAGTCATGTGCTCATTGGCAATTTAAAATTGTTTTAAAATATGTGAAAGACAAAAATTTTAAAGAAATTTCTGGAACACATTTCCTTCTCCCATACTAATAGTGGAGATTAAAAAAAAAATACAATTCAGTTTTTATGAGAAAAAAAATATATTGCAAAATTCCTTGATCCAGAGACAATTTCATTCTTACTGTTTTTTCTCATTATTAAAGATTTTAAAAAGTTCCAAAGTTCTTTTATTTTTAAATCTCATTACCGTTGCAAAAAAATTCCAACAGGGTGTTTATTTTTAGGCAGCTTAGTGAATGTCTTCATTATGCTCCGACACGTACCCGTCAAAGAGGTGACGGTCGGAGGCCTACGGTAGAATACTGCTGTGCAATAACTTCTGCTGAAATTATGCAATAAAATATCTATATTTTAACATTAATTGCAATTTGCTATACAAATTAAAAAGCATCCGAAAGACGACAAACATGTTTATTATTATACCCCCCGCTTGAAAAGCGGGAAAGCATCCGAATGAAATTTGATGAAACTTTCGCAGAATCTTTATTACATATTGCCATTGTTTATTTTACTTTTTGATCCGACACATATTTTGGGTTTCCCGGGCACAGCAAAACATGGACTTTGTCATCAGTTATAATCATATGGGAGGCGGGGGGTATCATTTAGTGAGCTCATTGCTCACAGTACCTCTAGTTTCCATTTTACTCATGCATTCATGAATGCCTCAATGAACTCTTTTTTTGCTTTAGTTTCCATACTCTTTAAATTATGACACAGTGATACGCTGATATGTTCCTTTCTGTATGTATTTAGTTTTTCTATTTTTTAATCATTATATTATCCCGAATTAGCATTGAACTGTATTTTGTTAGATATAGTTTAATGTTTTTAGATTCTGGTGCAAAAAATATTTTTAAGGTATCTTAAAGCCATCTACACTGTTACATCAGAAAGCTGAAACGCAGAAAAAAGTTTTAAACCCCACAAGAAGTATCGAACTTGAAAACACGACCATGGATAATAAATTACACTAAGGGGACATGTACACAGGTGTCAGGAAGTTAAAACTCGTATTTAGCTGCAATACCATTTTATTACCATGTTTGCTCAATATTGCATGGTTTTCCCAAAATCTGCCTCTTGTGTAAATATCTTTGTTGTGTTGACATAATTCTCTCTGATCAAACCATCTGATAACAGGATAAAGTTCTATCTAGATTTTATTGTTTGCCATTCGAAATCGATTTCAACATAACAATACAAATACCGCTCATGTAAGGTACAAGATTTACGAGTATTATGTACATATCTATTACGTAATGGGAGTGTCAGTGTATACTTCTATACGTTATTCTTTCTTTCTTTCTTTTTGAAATTTCTTTCAGGTTAGCGTGCAGTCGGTATTTAAGACTAGATCCAAGTGATTTTACATCATCGGAAAATGAGGAATTAAAAGATACGAAGTTTGGAACACGTATCAATATTTGTTAAATTAAAATGAACTATTGTAATATTTTTATATACATGTAATATGTAAAATAAGCTTCTAAATAGTTTAGATAAGAAATATTGAATATACCGTAAGCTGAATATATACAAGGCACAGAAAAAAAGGTCAGGAACAAAAACACAGCAAGACAAACAAACAAAATCAAGGTCAAATACAAACTAACTAACAAACAAACAGAACAAAGGTTAAACAAAAACAATCACATTGATTTTAAAAATTGGAGGTCAATTTTGATTTAAAGGAATATTTACAATGCTTGTATATCATATTGGAAGCAGCAAGAAATAATGAAACTTTTAAATATAATATTTTAAATATGAATATATACATGTACATGATTTAGGATCTATATATTTTCCCCCTGATTTATGCTATTGCAAGGATTGGTCTCTTATTTTTTTTTGTTAAAGAAACGACTCCGTGAAGAGGCTTTACGGCATTGCAACTATACAAGTCTATTAATTTTATGTCGGTTATCTTGCCGCTGACGGGCAGAACAACAGGGTTAAGTGCATACATAAGTACTTTTGATTCTTGTACTTAAGGCTGCAAGAAAAATATCTATCCAAACAAAAACTTTTTAAAAAGCAACGTTTACACTTAATAAAAAAAAAATTACAAATCTGGTGAAACGAACTTTTCTCGTATTCCTTATGAAACATATATACGAAGAATTTAAACCTACTAATTTTAATTAGGACATATAAAGAAAGCAGATATTGCTAAAACAATAATAATATGTCTATTATGAGAACGGTGGATTGCTGGTCGTTTAATCTTAATAATGGTACCTGCAAACTTACATCTAAAATCTTTGCTTTAGAGATGAAAGACATGCCAGTCATTCATTTGTGGTATGTAGAGCAAGTTTTCAAATAAAAAGCAAAAACAAGACAAACCCAGATACAGAAAAAAAACAACTGATATCTGTATCATTTACAACCGAAAAAAAAAATACAAAATAGTATACCAAATTATATACTTGTATTCATTTTAAAAAGGATATTTAGTAAGAGACCTTTAGTGATCAAAATTATCCAGAATTCAACGTTGCACTAATGGTAATTATACTTTGGCATCTAGGGCTCTTTTTTTCGTACAAGGAATTGCGACACACATTAGGAATTTAAGCCAGTTTAACATCTTAGTTACTTTGTAACTTCTTCAAATAAAGGCACTACATGAAGATGAAACTTATTCAAAATAATATAGTTGTTTTGTTGTTAGTAGTAATAAAGAACAAGTCTCTGGCTCATCGAAATATTCCATGATGTGGTTTCTGAGAATGAAAAAGTTGATTGAATGAATAAATGAATGAATGATTGATTGATTGATTGTAGGAAAGCGTATGATTGTCTAGTAATGTTATTTCTAACTTTCGGGTTGGTAATTCCAGCGTTAAAGTTGGTTTTTCCAACTTTAATCTTGGCCTTGGGAAACAAAACAAAAAGCAGTGAACTTTTATAAAACAATGCCATATTTTAAACATATTAAAACATATTTCATATGTCGATACGATATATCCCAGTGTGCTTGAGATATAAGATACCACAGAGTCTGACACATTTGTTTCATATTTGGATATTTTACTTTAAAAAGATATTAACGGTAATTTAACAATCAAACTCTATGATAAACATGATTACTATAACTTTTCTATCGTCAACTTCCCTTACTTATGCAGCAACATACCTTCATCACCTGCATACGGAATTTATATCTCAGTTGATTCAATACGCAAGAACATGCTCAACGTATGAACAATTTCTAAAACTAGGTAAATTATTGACAAACAAGTCGATGAAATAAGAATCTCAGCAGCCTCGTTTAAAGACTTCATTTCGTAAGTTCTATGTTTTATAAAATGGCCTTGTAAGTAAATACTGTACAATTTATCATTGAGTCAAATACTGACTGGCGTTTTTCATTCATATTGTTAGTCCATTATTTATACACTGAACTGATGACGGATTTTTCCGTTATTTCCCGATCATGACAAGGAGTACACAGCGGGTGTGACCGGTCAGCAGGGTATGCTCACTCCTCCATAGCATCTGATCCCACCTCTGATGTTTTGGAGTTCCATGTTTGCTCTGCTCCTATTTTGTATTGTTTTATGGACTTTTGATGTTGAATACTGTTCGTAAATTATCTCCATATGTTTCCTGATGTTCTTGTTCTTGTATTTTATTTTATTATTATTTTTTTTTGTGTGTCTTTTATATTCATAGAGTTCTTTTATGTCACTTCAATTCATAATATTTATAATATTATTAGACGCATGTGAATTTATTACAAATGTTTAATTCCTTGATTCGACAGAACACATTTACTTTCAAAAATATCCGTATTGAAGCTATGACGACTCCACTAATTTTTACCACTAATACAAGCATCATACAAATTTTCCTCTAAAAATAAGCCATACAAAAACACTTGACTCATCAAGGAAGAAGGTCGTTGTACAAAGCCATATATTCTGTTGAATTGCATCCCCGATCCAAACATTTGTTCCTCTATTAATTCATTACCAGGTATAACCGGATGACATAAATACCTTATGAATACTTAAATATTTTTCATTTGCTTGATAAATGGAAAAAAAGACAATATAGGACTTAGGTAAACTTTTATGTGGTATAAAATCCATGTTAAGGAGTTATTTGTCTCATATAAATATATGGTTCGGACAAACACAGACGAATTTCTTCTTTTTGTAATACATATGTAATTGTTGTACAAGCAGATTTTGTGATTTAAAACATATTTATTCATTTCAGATGATGGCTCTTTCAAAATGGAATGAATTAGGCACTGCGCAGCATTTTCTAGAATGTGACAAAAAAGACTGCGAAAGGAACTGTGAATACTTCTGCAACCATTGCTCTCAACGGATGTGTAGACAATGCAGAGATGAGCATAAGAAGACTTCGAAATATAAGAAGCATGAGGTGGTCATTTATCAACAACGATTTCGATCATTTCGAGTGGAGAAATGTAGGACCCACCCCACAAAAGATAAAGACATGCTCTGCGAGGAATGCCAAGTCCAACTCTGCTCCAAATGTGCAACACAGAAAGATCACCGAGGACATACGTTTATTGATTTGGAGACCATGTATACCTCAACATACGCTCGTTGCCGAGAAGAAATTTCAAAACTTCAGCAATACTATCTGCCAACATCAAGAGAAATACAGAGAGACATAAATGAAGATTCAAGAAAGATAAAGAAGATAATGGACAGCATAAGAACTTCAATAAAGGTTGATGCTGACGGCCTTAAAAGCCTGGTCGATAGACTGGCGTCCGAAAATATTCAGCGACTAAACAACATAGAAAAATCTCTGACGGAAAATTTGAAATCCCAAGAAAAGGAGATTACTGGATATATTTCCTATCTATCGGATCTTGACAAAGAGCTCCAAAAATATTTGTCCCAAACAAAACCTCCTCCGTTTACATCCTCAATATCTGAGAAGCTAAAAATTCGAAGCATACCTGAATTACCAAGACTGGCAACACCAGTTTTTACTGCCTGCCAATACAACAAAGATGACGTCGCTAAATTACTTGGTAAAATAGACATATCCGATTCTAATAGAGAAAACAGACACATTGAGTCATTAGAGACTTCTACGTCAGCACTTACAATGGCTACAATGAACCCTGAAGACAAACGCACAAAGTACGATGATGAACAAAGAATGATTCTCTCCTCTGCAGTAAGCAAGATTAGGAAGTTTGAAGTACCATGTATTGTCAGTTCATTCCACATGTCACTGGACAAATCTGGCAGACTCTGGGTCAGTGACAATGAAGGTTTTATCATCCAAACAGATTTACAAGGGAATCGGCTGAAGAAAATACCAGCTGGCGTAGGATACCCAGGGTTCCACACCGTCTCTGGGTCAGTGACAGTGAAGGCTTTATCATCCAAACAGATTTACAAGGGAATCGGCTGAATAAAATACCAGCTGGCGTAGGATACCCAGGGTTCCACACCGTCTCATTTGAGGAGGATCTTATCTTTACAGACAGAGACAAAGGCCTCATTAACAGGGTGATAGTGGATGGTACTATCAGTCCATTCATTAATACACGAGACTGGAAACCAGTCAGCATATACTCCTCTCACATCAATGGAAACTTATTAGTGGGGATGCTGAAGGGCAGAGAAACTAAAATCACCAGGTACAGTAGCTCAGGAAAAGAGCTGCAAAACTTTCAAAAGGACAAAAAAGGTCAGAACATGTATAGTGAGCCGCATTACATTGTGGAGAACATCAATGGAGACATCTGTGTATCGGACTATGACAAAAAAGCAGTAGTGGTGGTAAATAAATCAGGACAACATAGATTCTCCTATAGGGGCCAGAAGGCTAGGATTTGGCCTGCTGGAATCTGTACGGATGTTCTCAGTCACATCCTGGTGTGTGACAGTATGAGTAATACTGTTCACCTCCTTAACCAGGACGGCCAATTTCTGTCTCTTCTCCTTACACCACAACAAGCGATAACGAATCCACGCAGTGTGTGTGTTGATGATGAGAACAATTTTTACGTCGGACAGTGGAACACGAACATTGTCACAGTATTCAAGTATCTCCAGTAATTCTGTCAGTTTAATCCCTGTTTAAATTTCAATAATGGAGACGTCACTAAATCATGAAAGGCATCCAGTATGATCTCATTATTTAAGTAAATGAGGATTGCTTAAAATATTTTAGCAAATTTGTCCAACTCTGTAAAAAATTTAAACTTAAAGATTGCTGATACAAGGAATCAGTATCTTTCGAAACACGTATACTGTTTGTTTTTCTCGTATCTAATACAAAGTAGTTATTTGGATTCGTTACTATGGCACTTGATCCCACCTCTGATTTTTTGGAGGTGCGTGGTTGTTCTGCTCCTATTTTGTACTGTTTTATGGACTATGATAAAGAATACTGTTCGTTATTTTCATATCCTTCATCAAAGCCTTTGAAGACATCGAACATTGGTTTTTGTAACCCCCTAAAGATCATTTTCAGCATATCTTTGGGAATAAAAGCGGTGCAATGAAGGAGAAAGCATTGATGATCACATCCCCTGCTGTGTATCCTTCGTCATCATCGGGCAAATGGATAAATCCATCGGCAATCAGTATGAAAATTGCCAAACAATTGATGAATGATGACTTATACGACAAGTTGTAATTGAAAACAAAGTCACTGTATCAGCGTTAGTTCATGTTACCCTTGTATCAATAACTTATTTGTGAGTAGCCTACCAATTTTTTATTATTGTGTTTATAAATACTGTATATTGTATCAACTTATTTGCTAGTACCCTACCTTTTTTTGGAAATTTTTTATACATACTGCAAACGTGGAAATATGGAAAACTTGTAATTTTGACCCTATTGATAATTTACCTATTACGATAGAAATCAAATCAATTTTAAGAGGTTAACCATAAATCATTTGATAAAGGTTTATTCCTCAAAGGGTATGAACACCACAGCTGGTTGTTTATTTAACGTCCCTATCGAGCATTTTCAGACGCCAACACTTGCCGCTGGTAAGTAAGGCATATACCCGGCACTCGTGGCCATGAAGCTGTGAGGGATCTTTTTCAGCACCTAAAGCTACATGGGGCCTCTGTTTCTACGTCCAGTAGTTGGATTCGAATCCGCGAGGTAAGGACCAACTCTTTAATCCGCGACTCTAGGTCCTTAAATCTCGGGTTCGAATCCCAATACAGTACATGGTGACCGATCCTTCGAATGAGTCCCAATATGTGCTTGCACGAAAAAGATGCGTCTCTTGCCAATGACCTTAATACCCGAGTATATTTCTCTATACTGGCAAGTGCATGGTGGCGTCTAAATATTCTCGAAAGGTACGTTAGATACAAAAACACTTTAACCACTCTGACTGTGTCCATCGGAGTTGAGCTTATGAACTGTGTACCTTGATTTTCAACACTGGCTCCTCCTTCAACTTCTTAAATACAATATGCTTTCAGTATGATAATTACATTTTAATGTAAATACATAATTTAATTAGTTTAAAGATTCAATTCAGCAGATTCGTGTTTAATGTTATGATAATATATTGTTTTATTTAACAAATAATTTCAATTGCCATAAATCATTTCAGGAAGTATGTGTGTTAGTTCGAAAATAATGTACAAATGTCCACTTTAAGTGACCTAGAAGACAAGAACATACATGTACTGATGATTATTTCAATAACAAGAGGAAACGCTGAAGTGGGTTTTTTAATGGTCAATTTCATATCAATTACTTTACATTAATAATTATTTTAAAGTTTGTCTTTGATTAATAAGTTGTTATTTCCTAATTGTTTGAATGTTGTTTTTATTTGTGTGAATGATGCTTTGTTCCTTCTTAAAAAGGAGTGTAATCTACCATGTTAATAAGGATCACCTTATTGCAATTAAGAAAAAAAAACAACTCTTATATTAATTATTTGCAATTTCCATATGGTCACAACAATCGTTCATTAAACTCTGACTCCTGTGTATATATACATGGAGGATGGATAATGAGTTAAAGTTATTGTTGGTCACTAAATTTTTGCGACAATTTTTTAATATAGCAAATTGTCCTTTATAAGGGAGACAAGATTTGATTTATGCTCTATCTAATCTTTAGGAAAACTAAAAACGCGAGAATGATATTTTCGCGAGGACATTGCAAAATTACGCGAAAATAAAGTTCTGACGAAAAAAAGGTTATTTATAATATACATATAAGTTTAAAAAATGTCCATTTGCCTAAAAATCATGAAGTGTGTTATTTGTTTGCCCTCTCCCGACAGACTGGCAAAATTGGCCCAACTCAAAGCTTTTTCGAAACCTCCGGAAAATGATATTATCTCTTTTTTTACTCCATTTCTGAATTTTATCCATAAACATTTATATTGAAAATTTTCAAAGAAAAAAAATCCACCTAATAACCGACCAATTTATTTGAAAATTTTAAATGCGAATCGCACAAGTACAGATAGTAGTCACTAAAATAAAAAAAAAAGTTTTCATGGCGAATGCTCAAGGACCTGCAGAGAGAACACTCGCGGACAAAATCCGTCGCTTTTTGCAGGTTTCCATGGCAAAGGTAGCCATTTTGAAACTAAATGACCATACAACACAACTAAAACCAGTGGTCGTCCTTTGAGGAAAGTTTCAGGAATATTGTCCCTTCCATCTCCGAGAAACAACCTCTCTAACAAAGACGTGTGCAATCGCAATATGTCGCCCGATTTCGTTCGGGGCGCGTCGGGGCGACATAATGATGCACACAATTCCAATTTCCTAACATGAAAACTACATCTTGTATGGAAATTGTCCCATATAGTTTAATAATAAGCAGTGAATAAATTTGGGTCATTAATTTGCCTGGATGTACCGTATTAGACTAGAGGCCCACGTCGCTCACCTGAACAATCGGCTAGGAAAAAGCACATATCAGATCAGAACTGAAAGTTTACCGAGGTTTAGGGGGCTTGAATTGTAACCCCCAGGGGAGTCATGATTTGAACAAACTAAAATCAACACTTCCTGAGAATGATTCCATATAAAATATCACTAAGCATGGCTTTGAAGTACTTGAAAAGAAGAAATTAAAGATTTTTCCTATATATATTCCTATGTTAAACTTTGATCGGCCATTTTGGCCCACTTTATCCCCGGGATCAAGATTTGAATAAACTTGAATCCACACAACCTGAGGATAATTTCACATGAGTTTCATCTTTCCTGTCTCAATGGTTCTCGAGATTTTTAAAAGATTTTTAAAGATTTTTCCTATATAATTCCTATGTAGAACTTTGATCGGCCGTTTTGGCATCACCCTACCCCCGGGGGTAATGATTTGAACAAACTTGAATCTACACTATCTGATGATGATGCACATGAGTTTCATCTTTTCTGGCCCAGCGGTTCTTGAGAAGAAGATTTTTAAGGATTTTTCCTATACATTCCTATGTAAAACTTTGATCGGCCATTTTGGCCCCACCCTACACTTGGGGGTCATGATTTGAAAAAAAAACAACTTGAATCTACACTACCTGAGGATGCTTCCACACGGGTTTCATCTTTCCTGGCCCCGTGGTTCTTGAGAAGATGATAATTAAAAATGTCATTAACTTTTCTCTAATTCATAATTATCTTCCCTAGGAAAAGGGCGTTGCCCTTCATTTGAACAAACTTGAATCCCCTTTACCTAAGAATACTTTGTAGCAAGTTTGGTTGAAATTGGCCCAGTGGTTCTTGAGAAGAAGATGAAAATGTGAAAAAGTTACAACAACGACGACAATGACGACGACAGACAACGGACAAATTTTGATCAGAAAAGCTCACTTGAGCCGTTAGCTAAGCTAGGTGAGTTAAAAAGCCTCATTGCTCTTTTGAACAAAGTTTCCCTTCATCAAATTTTAATACCTAATGCAAACTATATATTTACTACACAAGTGTGGGGATATATAAGTTCTAACTCGTTGAAAATATTGATTAGAACGTAAATAACAAATATCATGTAAACATACTTTTAACAGTTGTTTAACTGATCTCGTATTTTTAATTTTTAGCTATGCCATATATATATATATAGCTTTGCCTATACTACCCAATCGCATTAACATAACATTCATGTACATGTATATGTATATCAAAAATAAACGTCTTTTATAAATTATTTTGTTTTCAAAAAATGCATAAATGTGAAAGAAAGACATTTCTCAGAACGAAAGTTAAAATGCAAAAACCAGGACATTTGCAGAAAATACATTTTACAGAAATGGATAATATGCACACTCCAGATTAATTGTTAAAGAATATATAAAATATCTATCTACTTCTTATATTAACTGCTAAGATTATAGATTTTTTTATCCTGGAGAGTACCGATAAACTCTCGACATTTAAGGTCAGGAAACTTTCACTTTCGAGCTAGAATTTGGGATTCCCCGTTTCTATTTTTAGACAGCCCAGTGAACTATTTTTAAATTGTGTATTTTCCTAGAATACTTTTGGACGCTATATAAGTCGGTGTTGTGAATATACTGTTGGTCATTTGGATGTGGATCTATTAGAAGTAAGTTATATTAGAATATTCGAGAAAGAGTTTTTTTTTTAATATATTATTGAATTATTTGATAAATTATTATAATGTGTTAAAGTAATGAAACCGAAATTCATATGGTAATTCTTTGCAAAACATACATTTTTTTTTTTTTATATTAACAAATAAAATTTAATTGTGAATTAACAATTACTGTATGTTTGAATTTCATCATAAAATCATAGTGTGTAAATTAAAATAATGAAAAGAATTTTTATAAAGAGTATACACTGTATCTATCTTCATTTAAGCTTATTTCAAACATTTTCATTATAAATGCACATTTAGGCTGATCTTGGAGCATAGCTACTACAAAAGGTGATCGGATCTTTCGATTAATGAGAAAATGTTTTAAGCCGTTGAAAAATTGAATAATTTTTTAAAAAAATTTTAGGCAGGTTACTACAGATTTTATATTAGATTGTGTCAGGTACATGTACAGTATACACTAATAGATTACTTGTTTCTGACTGTACACAGAGCCTCTAGGCATTAAATATGACAGATGTAAATGCATAATCAAGAATTATATCTGCTCTTAGTGATAGTGTATTCTCGGTAAAGAAGTGAATATACATAGTTGAAGGCTATATGCTAATCAGAGATTCCTCTGACTTTAACCCCTGCTTTTATATTGTGACTTGTGCAAGGGCTCCCCTGCACAAGTCACAATATAAAAGCAGAGTTTAGAGTCAGAGAATCTCGAGCTATATGCCTGCATATTCATTTAATCTATGATCTTTTGTCATGTACCGTATATGTATACACATTTCAAATGTAAATAAAATCGAATTGGATTAAATTTGATATGATACAACAAAACTTAATTCAAAACGAAATTAAATAGACGTCTACAGCTAGTAGATTACTCAGTATTACAATAATGTCATTAAGACTGAATTGTGATTATGAAGTTTTTACATTTATATTTTCTTTTATTTCAGTAAAAACAAATATGGAACATCATAGATATTGTAGCGAAAAATCAGGGGATATGAAATACAACTCCCCTGATCAAAAGTTATTTCTAGAAAAATTCTTAAAAGGCGTTGACATCAAATTTGATTTGATGTGTTTTAGTTGCTGCTTAGCCTTTTTGCAAAGAGATCGGGGTTACATTTGCGAACAAAAAGAGTTTGAAAATGTTTCTTACCAGGGGATAAATAAGGAAAATATAACTGAAGCTGAACTAAAGATGCCATCTAAACCAGCAAAAAATCCACAGATTCAAATTGAGCCTTTGGAAGAAGACAAGATTGGTCTAAAGAAAGGAGCCCGATCTGTCGAAAATGGTAGAACCTACCAGGCGTATCACAATAGTATAGGAGCTATGGGCGTAATTCAAAGTGGATTTTCACGCTTGGAGAGTATCGATATACGCAAAGCAACTTCCAATGAAGTTGTAAATTTAAGGCTGTCCTACGAGGATGCTACCCTAGTTGAAATTCACAGAAGGCTAAACAGCATCGATTCACTCAGTGGAGGAATTATAAAAGGTTATTTGGGAATCAAAAAATACACAAGCAGACCATTAGGTAAAGGAGACATTAGACACTATTTCCGGCCAAAACAAGAACCAGGACAGGAAGGATTGAACGAGCAATAAAAGAGAGAACCAATATATCAGATACGAAAATGAATGGACATGGAGGTAAACAAGGACGCCTCAAAGCGGAGTTTTTCCTCGCAAGAGAGCACAAAACTGTTACGAACAAAGCCAGCAAATGACGTCACTAGGCGTCTCCATACAAGATTTTATTAGTCCAGTTTGGGCCCCCAGAGGAGCAAAAGAGATTGAAAACATGAAACAAAAAAAAGAAAAGGATCCAAATGATAGAAAAAACTTGATCATACATATAATGAGAGCATTGCGTTATATCTATATAGTCATTAAAAATCTATCTACAAGAGATATACTGAATTTACATAATGTGTATGTTATAATAATACATGTCGATATTAGTCATATAACTGGAAGACATACATATGTATACATATGCATATCAAGGAACAAAAATAATTTAATTTTTTATTAGTTGAGCTAGGTTGTCAAGGTATCTAGCAAGTGATCTTAGAATGTCACTATGTCAGGGTCTACAAGTACGCTAAAATGAGGACATACAAGGAGAAAATGAATTTCCTGAATCTCATTATCAGCACAAAGGGAACAGATTCGTTCATCTGTAGGTATTTTTTGATATCGTGCAATTTCAAGCCCGTGACTCGCCTGCTTTGCGCAGTCGTTAGAGCGTCTGCTCTAGAGTCGTGAAGTGACGGTCAGTCGATCCTTACGTTGCGGGTTCGAATCCCACTTTGTGACGTAGAGACCGTATAAACCCAGATCCTGTCTCGCAGTAGGTGTTGACACGGAAAAGACCCCTCCCTGCTCAATGGTCCTGAGTGCCGAGCAAGGTCAAAGTTGGTAGCTCTCCAACAGCAAGTGTTGGCGTCTCCATATGAGTGAAAAATTCTCGATAGGGACTTTAAACAACATACAATCAATCAATCTAAGCCCATGAGCTGATATTCTTAATCTTGTTAGAACCATAATTTAAGTGTAGAATTCTCTTGGGAGGAACACATTACTTTCATTATGCATACCAACTCGCTCATTAACGAATTATCCTCTCACCATGCCAACTTTTACATTTATATTGTAAAGAATCTGTATGTTTAATTTATTTGTATTTATGTTGGCTGAATAAAAACGAATTGATAAAGTACTGACTCTATGCTATGTTGTTTATTTGTATAAATATATCGGCAACTTGTTGTGCCCATGTCAATAAATATAATACACAAATGACCAATTCAATTCTCTTTATTTTGATGCCTATGCCAAACTCTACAGATCAATTTGATTTGATAAGATTTGGTTGCTGTGTCACCATTTTGGAAAAAGGCAAGAGATTCGCCAAGAGTTTGAGATTGTTTCCTACCAGGGAGAATTTAAGGACAACACGTTGGCAAGAGTAGTTGAAAATGCTAGTTACTATCTCTGTCTAAATGGTACAGGAATATATGGGCGTGTCATAATGCAATTTCTTGCATGGAAAGTATTGATATACGCAATTAACATCTGAGGAATTAGGCATTAAATTATCTCTCAAGAAACTGTATGTCTGATATTTACAAATCAACTAAAAACGAATATGATAATGTTTTGATTGTAAAAGGTTATTTGGAATTATTTTAAATATGCATTGGACTAAAATCACATGTTTGTTTTTTTTGTTAATAAATTGGAACGAATTTGATGATTTTTGATATGCTAATTCTCTTTATTTTTATCCCTGTGCAACAACTACATTTGTACATCAAAACTATTTCTGGAATATATCAAATTAGAATAAAAAATTTAATTTGTAATTTAATTAATTTGTGTAAGAAATTAATTAAAGGAAAAATCGACAATAAAGAGTTTTAAAATTTTATTATCTCTCTCTTAAACGGGGGACTGGATATTTTTTTCTATCAAACCAATTCTGTGTACTGTGACACCTGTGTAAAATTCAAATTGAATCTTTTGAAAGCAATTAATTGCAAGGCGTTCGGACCTGGGGGTCGAAAATGATCACAATCGTCAAGGTAGGTATTGGCGTGAGTCAAAGTGAAAACTTAAGACCGTAACTAGAGAGTACTTAGATTTGGAAATCTTAGCAAACCTTAGGCGGCCGGTAGAGGTGACTTAATTATATCTTAACTTTCTTGTACTTATATTTAGAATTATTTAATGTTGACTTTCGATGTATAAAGTTTCCTCTATTCATATTATGCATTAAAGAAAATAATTATCTGTATTTGACGCTGTTTAAGAATTTTATTTTTTTCGTTGGGAGGGGGGTAGAGGTGGGGTGAGGTGATCACTGATCCCAATTTCACTCACAGCACAGCACTGCACAGCATACATGTAAATACAAAATTTAATCGTAGGGATACATGTACGTCTGAAATTAGTAGGACTTCGGTTATAGAAATATCCCGATTTTTGTTTTGTTTCCTTGATTATAAGTATATCATTAAACATCTGCCTTTTTTGCTTCTGACATACATGGCATTATACATAGAAGGGTTTTAAAGAGAGAACTTTTTAGAGTTTCAATTTCAAGTGAATAGGCGGTCGATTATCTTTTCTTGTCTGCGATAATAACAGTATATTTATCAAAACAAAAGAGTTACAAGAGGTAAACTATATAATGATAAAACAATTGTCGTGAACATTTACAATGAACCACAGTTCGCCACTTTTTTGTGCAGTATTTGTTTTCAACATTCCGTGTTTATTTTATAATATTTATTGTGAAATCTTTCTCTAACATAACTTAAACCGATAGGTAAGGCACGTAAATTTTAATATGTAATTAATTAAAAATGAATCACACTTTAGCAATATATATATATATAAAATCAAAAACTATAGGTTGAAATGGTATTTTTAACATTCCTTGCTAACCTAGCTTAGTTTTATATTTATGTTACAGTTTAAGACATACTTAAAAAGTATATCAACAGGTCTGATTGTGTTGTTATATAATATGTCAAAAACTTAGCAAGCTTTATGTTACGAGTCCCAGCACGGTAAGCCAAATAGCTCCGAGCTCGGATTACCGAGTTTTACTGTGTGTGTGTGGGGGGGGGGGGGGGGGGGGGGGGGGGGTAAAACCAAAAATTTGACATGTTAGTGCGACGCCTTTCTGGTGTATTTAATCATATGACCTATGTACCTTTTATTATACATGTACATGAATATCTACAGTAATACTTGCCCCTGCCTGAAGCCTTATGAAAATTGTAACTATTCTACACTCTGAGATAGGTATGTTTGCAGTTAGTAACACATGGCAATTTGAAAACTTGTCAAAGACGGAAACGATTGAGCTGTACACAGCGATTTGCTTGTCCCAAATTGCTCATATCAAAATACACTCGAAGGCCAGTCGGCTCTACTGCCATTTGTACTACAGCATAATTAAATATTCTTGTTTTCTTATAATCTCCATTTCGATATGATGTGCTTTATTTGCTGTGTCGCCTTTTTGAAGAAACAAATTTCAGGGACACATGCACTAGTACCAAGAAAAAGAATTTGAGACTACTGGCATTTCCCATTACATGTGTAGGGATCGAAGTTAGAACCGAGTCGAAACATTAATACCTTTATAGCCAAACAAACATCCAAAGATCCAAATATAACCACTTTAAAAATGAAATTTGGTCTGAAAAAGCAGCAAGATTATTTTAAGTTGAAACTGTAGAAACTTACCAAGGTTGCCACAATGTTTGGGGGAGAGTCAAAATGCAATCTTATACGCATGGATTTACGCGAAGGAAACTTAAAGGAAGTGGCCAATCTGATGCTGAGCTCAAACTCAAGTAATTTCATATATTTTATTAAAGTAAGAGGAAATGATCATTTTTGTTCTTTTTAGTGTGTGTAAGCTTTTTCATAGGCAAATATTTTCTGTTTTTTATGAGATTTTTGTAAATTGTAGAGATTTTGCATAAAGAATACTTTATTATTAGATGAAATATCAAATAAAACTTGGATTTAATTGAGATTAAATTTTTCACTTCTTATCAAATAAGCACTTTTTCTTTCCCCCCGTTTCTTTCCTTGTTTAGCACTTTTTGCAGGGAAAGCTGTTTCTATGAGATATGTTCAGTAACAGACGGACGGAAAGCTTTACAATTGCTATATATCCTCCCACTTTTCAACACTGACACTGCAAAGATGATCATCCTCTCGTTAGACAGCACATTTCTGTTGAAAGATCAATCAAGCAAGCACGGAAATGACACCAGATTACAATGCACTCACACGCGCGTTACCGTATCTCCTCAAATCATGCCAACTTTGTTGAAGGAGTAAGGTAAGAGGTCATAATTAACAGACTTGGTGTTAAGATGTATAATCAATTTCTATGCCCCTGTAATCCAAGTCCGTCTGTCTGTTACGCTTTGGGCATCTTCTGTCCGCAACTCCTCTTATACCACTGAATGCAATTTGAGACTTTCACAGAATCTTTATTACATATTGCCATTGTACACCTCTTATTTTACTTTTTGATCTGACACATATTTTGGGTTTCCCATAGCAAAACATAGACACTGCCATTTATACACATATGGGAGGCAGGGAGTATCATTTAGTGAACTCATTGCTCACAGTACCTCTAGTTTGTATTTTATTTAAATGAATAACAAATTTGATCAATCAAACACAAATGCGCTTTTTAAAAAAAGATCTTAATTACAAAGAAAGATGAATAAACATACATAATTGTGTGAAAACAAAATCCTCTTTCCTAGACAGATGACTAGATCTGTTTTTTTTCTTTGTGTTTTTTTTTTCTTCTTTTTTTTTTGCAATCCAGTTCAATCCTGTTTATTTTGGTAGGTGTACTTCAGAAATAATTACAAATCCATTGATGAAATTGATTTAACAATTGTCTCTTCTGCAACTTGTTAAAGAAATCTGCAGTCTTTGCAGTGGTCCATTTAAAAAATCATGAGTGAAAACTTTTGAAACCTTCCTAATAGTTTTTGAGTATTTAAACATTACTTCACTTTTTTCTATCCGAAAGTTTAAATTCTTTTTAAAGAAACTTGTATATCAAATTGCATGTACTGATTGGCTGTGACATCTCACATGCAAAATTTCAATCCATACGACTGAGAAATCCAAAATGTGATTTTCAAGAATGCCAATTAATCGTCAAAATCTTTAATTTCATAATCATCATCATCCTCTTCCTCGGGTTCTGTAACAACTTTTGATTGGCTGCTAGTAATCTTGTCCTCTTCCGTCTTCGTAGACCATGTGTTCCCTACAGTAGCCTCATTACCTTGTGAGTTGTTATCTAAACCTGAGTCTTTCTCATCAAGCTTCTCTGACCTGAAAAATTTGGAAAAGTTTGTCAGAAAATTCTTTAATGTGATATATCCTCCAAAAAGGGAGGAGAGGGGTACATTATAACAGCTAGTAGGCATGAAGCAAAATCAGGCTGTTATTTGCTTTACTGTATAAACAATGTTTTGATTTTTTGACCTTGAAGTTTGACTTACTTTTGAGAAACTTTAATGCTCGCCATAAGCTGCCATACAGGGACATCAATGTTTCACAAACACGTCTTATTCAACATGCTCACAATAATCATTTTATTTTTCAATTTTCCAATATATTTTGGGATAAAAATTCTTGATTCAGCATACCATGTAAAATATGTGGAAGTTTACAGACTACAATAATATTAGAAAATACAGCTAAACAAATCTTTAAACAGTTTGTCTACACGTTGTACACTGGTTAATGAAGGGTAACTAAAAGGAGATTATAATCAGATAATGACAAGATTAATAGAAACAAGAGTACACAGTCAAAGTCTTATAATAATTTTTGCTCTCTTATTAATTGAAAAATAATAGGGCTATCTTTTCCTCTTTAATCCTTTATATTTAAATTAAATGGTTAATGTAAAAAATTGCAAACCTTTATATTTACATTACACAATTAATGCCAGGAAACACAAACACAATGTTTTAATTATATTGGAAAAACAAAAATTCACATTTTTTTCTCTTTTACAACAGTTTTATGAAGCAAATTTCAAATTCTGTAATGATTTTAGATATTTAAAACATAATTCTCTGATATAATGTTGAATCTTTTATGAATACACTAAGCAGTATATTATACACTGTCTAACTGCCTTTGGGGGGGGGTTAATCTTATCCACAACCAGGAAGTAAAGTACAGGTGTCGTTCAAGTCTCGCGTGAATTTCTTGAAATTCCACAGTCTGTTGGCAAGGAAATATTGCCAAT